AGTCACACTTAATAAAGATTTACTATCTTGTATTTGTGTTCGAAAACCAAAGTCTTTAAAAGTTGAAAGCTCTGTCCTAAATTTGGGACCAGAATTTGTTTGGAAGCAAAACCTAACCTGAACTAATTTCAGACTATGGTCTATATCTATACCCACTTGTAGTAATGAATCATTCTGTAGCAAAATATCAGAATAATGTGACTATGAAATGCTGTTTTACATAATATATGACATATGGCTCTGGTGGTGTAGTGCCTAAGGCATTTGACTGCTAACCAGAAAGCTGGTGATTCAAACTCACCAGCCACTCCTCGGAAGGAAGGTTGGGCAATCTACTCCCGTAGTGACACTGCCTCGGAAATCCAAGAAAAGGTTGCTGTGAGTGGGATCCAACTTAATAGCAGTGAGTTTGGTTTTGGTTTTGGACTCTAGCACACTACTGAAATCTGAAAAACTCTGAATTTTGATACAATTTGACCTTAAGAGTTAGAATAAAAGGGTTTACAACTAAATAAGTCAAAAGTATAATCAAATTACTAAAAAGCAAAGGAAATTTTGGTCAAAATAATGGAAACAATTATTCTTGAATTATGGAAAAATAACAATTTAACTGTTCAAAGGACATATGGGATATTCAAGTACTGTAATTTAAGAAGAATATTAAATTGTCTCAGTGCCTAATAAAGTGCCTAACTACAGATAAATGTATAGACAAGTGAGAAGATCAGGTAGGGGTCAGTGAACAGGAATATACCCTTGGGTTTCCAAGGCAGTATCACTACAGAGGTAGATTGTCCAACCTTGCTTATGAGGAGTGGCTGGTAGGTTTGAATCACCAGGCTTCTGGTTAGCAGTCAAATGCCTTAGGTACTACACCATCAGAGCTCCCAGGAAAAATTTAGCTAAAGATAATGTTACAAATGCACTTTGCTACAAAATTAGCCATACACATTACAGAAGCAACAGAAGACAGAGTTGGAGTAACCTCTCAGAGACAACCAAACACCTTGAGAGAGAGAATCACCAGGCCTCCTGACTTGGAACCATAGTCTCAGGGGACACCAAACTCAATTGGCACAACATAGGACATAACAATCTTGTTCCTGAACCTACTTTGGTGAGTAGTGACTGGGGCCTTAGAAGCCTCCGAGCAGCCATCTAAGATGCAACTATTGGTCTCCTCTCAACTGAAGCAAAGAAGAGTGAAAAAAATCAAAGGCATCTGGAAACAATTAGTCCAAGGCTATGATAGACCCTGAGACCAGAAGAACTAGATGGTGCCCAGCTATCAATGCCAACCACTCAGGAAGGGATCAAAACTGAAGATCCTGGATAAAATGGGAGGAGAATGTGGAACAAAATTCAAAAACACAAAAATGACCAGAATTACCTGCTGGACTGAGTCTGGTAGAACCCTCAAGACTATGGCCCTGCTTTACGCTTCAGCCTAGAATTAGACTCACTCCCAAGAACTGGCTCTCAGTGTAACAGTAGAAAGACCTACATACAGAACACCTACCCTAGGGGGATACACCCCTTAGAGCAATCAGCCATGGGGTAACAGAGGGGCAGCATTCACATGGAGGGAAAGCTGGACAGACAGGAGTGCACAGGTAGGAAGTACACAGGGAGGGAGCAGCCACAGGGAAGCAAGGGGAGGAGAGTTTATTATGGTCGGGGATGGTAATCGGGGTGTGAAATCAAATGTACACGAACTGTTGAATGTAAAACAAATTCTGTTCTCTACATTTGCACCCAATGCACAATAAAATTTTAAAAAGAAAAGAAAGAAAAAGAAAATGCCTAAAACATGTTATAGGCATTTTATTTGTTGAGTGAATATTTGCTAAATGAATGAATGAATGAATATAATGCATCATTAAATGTAAACCAATAGATCAAATTATCCAAACACAAAGATATCTTCTATTCCAAACCTATGTTTCTGGTTTTAACTCAAACTCCAGCCCCACTGCCCCTCCCAAACTACTTAGTAATCCATCAATCACTCCCATATTGGTTGCTTCTGATCTTGCTCATGATGCTTCATCTATGGAAATGCTAATCTCACCTAATGCCAGCGGTTGAAATCCTATTTATTTTCAAAGACAGAGATAGATTGCCTGTATCTTTGAAGAGGCTTTCTCTAATTCCTTTACCAAAAACCAGTTCAACCCATAGTGACCCCTCCTTGGGTTTCTGAGGCAGTATCACTACAGAAGTAGATTGCCCAACCTTCTTTCGGAGAATAGGTGGTGGATTTGAACCACCAATCTTCTGGTTAGTAGTCAAATGCCTTAGGCACTATGCCACCAGGGCACCTCTAATTCCTCTAGAGAGAGTTAAACCTCTCATCCTCTATGCATTTAAGAGTATGTGATACTTAGCTCTAATACTAAGTATGCCCAGATCACATTCCAGAATAAGTATCATTTATGTATATGTTTTATTGGGAGCTCTGGTAGCATAGTGCCTAAGGCACTTGACTGCTACCCAGAAGGCTGAGGGTCCAAACGTACCAGCCACTCCTCAGAAGGAAGGTTGGGCAATCTTCTTCTGTAGTGATACCACCTCAAACCCAAGGAGGAGTCACTATGAGTCAGTTCTGACTTGATGACACATAAAAACAACAACAATATGTCTTATTTTCCAAACACATTTTAAGCCTATTGAGAGCAAGAGTCACCATTTGAATCCACCCTTCTGTAGTAATTGATGCCATTATTGGTATTTATAATCAAAAAATAATTGAATGGAATCAAAATTAGTAAGAATAACAAAAAGACAAACACTAGCTTTGAATTATGATACAGCTACTCCTCATTTATCAATTACTTCTTCATCCAACATTTCACATTCACAACAACAGTAAAAAATCTACTATCCAACTTTTTGCATTAATCATGTGCATCTGACATAATGAATGTTGTGATGTAAGGCAAGAATAAAGCTGGCTGTGATAGTTAACGTTAAGTGTCACCTTGGCTGGGCCATGATTCTCAGTGGTTTGGCAGTTATGTAGTGATGTAATTTGGCAGTTATATAATGATACAGTTATCCTCCATTTTGTGATCTGACGTGATCATCTTCTATTTATTGTCATGCCAATTTTCACGTAACAACCTGGTCTTTGGGACCTAATCATGTCAGTAAATGAAGAGTGGATATAGTTAAAAGAATACAAACAGTATTTGCACGAGGGAAGAAACCAATGTCTGCTTCTGATAGTCAGAGAATCTTCAGTACTACCATAAGCCAGTATTTAATAACATGAAAATGACTGAATAAATAAACTAGTGTCTAACTTGAGCAGGGGAAAAAAGCCTAAAATGATACCTGAAGATAATTTTTAAATAAGTGAAGTGAAGATCTAGCTTGTTGAAAAAGAAGTAGACTCATGACATTTGTCTCAGAAACAGAATCCCAGATCATGTATGAATTTAAACAGAGGCACAAAATTAAACTTTCTGGTAACACTGTGATCTGATAATGAAAGAGGCTGCTCCATAAACCAGTTAATTCTCTCTGCCTTTGGTCCTAACAGTACATTAATGATGATCTGTTGGGAATATTTATTCCAGAAAAATTTACTTAAATTGTATTTCCTAAATAGTAGAACTCAGAGGTTATTAAAATTCCCTCCATCTAATAGAAGTAAAATTTTAGAATATAGACCTTTTTCTTCCCTAACCATCAAACTTGAACTTTATAATACTAAATAACTTAGCTTATCACATAACACAAATTTTAATTTCATCCTTTAAAAAACAGCCAATCAGATTTTAATGAACATAAAAGTTTCTTAAGTTGAATAATGAACTTGACTCTCTTGTTAAAACAGAATGATGATCATGTTGATTCAATGGAATAACCCTAATATTGTGAACAGGATTGTGTCTCTGAACCCAAATCACCAATTGATATATAAGAAAAAATTTAAAGTATTTTTTCTTAGATTACTATAATAGGAAATAGTGCTAACACATTAGAAAAATTACAAAAGTAATTTTAGCCAAATTTTTAAAAACAAACAAGTCTCAAATAGGCTCTCTTGGCAGGGGAAAAAATACATATACATATACATACCACAATCACAGATTTCTGTAATGCTTTGTATCTTTGAAAACACTTTCATATATTCAGAAAATTAGATTATATCAACTGTTGAAGACAGAAAAATACATATTTATACCTAAGGAATCCTTGGTACTTAGGCATTTTCCTTAGGGCTCATTGCTAGTAAATACTAAAGAAAGACTTCAATTACTTTTAGTCTGTCCTTCCCACTGGGTAAGACTTCAGAACATAATGTCTTCTAAGTCACATAATGAGTGGGCTTATTAAAGTATGAGGACAAATGACCATAATTAGTAGGCATTACTTGAAAAGGGACTAGTGTTAAACCACAACTTGAGGATGCATTGCAACAAAAGAATAATTTATTAAGCACTCTATATAATAGGAGCTCTGGTAGCATAGTGGCTAAGGGACTTGTCTGCTAACCAGACGGCTGGCGGTTCAAACCCACCAGCCACTCCTCGGAAGGAAGGTTGGGCAATCCTACTTCCGTAGTGATACTGCCTCGGAAACCCAAGGAGGGGGTCGCCATGAGTCGGGGCCGACTCAAGGGCACATAACAACAACAACAACAACAATATAATAGGAAGGAGCTCTAGTGGTGCAGTGCCTAAAGCACTTGACTGCTAATCAGAAGGTGGGCAGTTCAAACCCACCACCCACTCATAGAAGGAACATGAGACAATCTACTTCCATAAAGATTTACCGCCTTGGAAATCCAACAAGGGTCACTATGAGTCAGAATCAACTCGATGGCAGTGAGTTGGTTGTCGGTATGTAATAGACTAGATAAACTAATTCCTTCCTTGAGTGTAATAAGGACTTTAAATATTTGTTGTTGTTATTACTATTATTATTATTTAATTACTTCATTATATTGATCCAAGACTTAGTTCTTTCCCAGGATATGCCCACATACGAACCTCATCTCCTTCCTGAGGTCTCATCAAGGAGACACGGTCATACTGCCGCCGCAATAAAGCCCAGAGTGCATCAAGACGACCCTAAAAGGAAAGGTGATTTATAATTCCCAGGGAATGTGTTCCAACTTTATTTACTGAATAAATGATGAATAAAAATGAAGCTGAAATCTCATTCTCTATCTTGGTCCTTTACTAAATTAGACTAAAATAAATAGATAAATATTTTGAGGCTTTTATTGTTAAGAAAGTATTCAGTTGCTTGAATCTAAGATGAATGTCTATGATTTGATCAAATTTTACTTTCATTCCATTTTCTTTTCTTACCCTTTATCTTGAATTTACTGGTCTCTATGAATCTTTTTGCCCTTGGTGATAATTCTTTTCTGTTAAGAAATTGCCCCTAATTTGACTTGATAACGGGTAAAGAGAAATAGGTACTCTCAAGCAACTCCAGTGAGAATGAAAATTGGTACAACACTTTTGGGAAACAATTTGGCAATATGTATCAAGAGCTTTAAAAATAGCTATACCTGTTGGCTTCTGTAATTCCATTTCTTTAAAAAAAAAAAAATCTACTATACAACTACTATACCATTATCATGACTTCCTGGTATCCAAAACTTATCCAAAGTCTTGTTTCAAAATATTATACCTACAGATGTTAACTTAGTTTGATTTCTCTATATTCTAAGTCTTATCCTTAGATCAGGTAAATTAGAGACATGTTATCTTATACTGCACTTATTTTGGCTCCTTGTAAAATTGTTCTTTTTAAAATATGCTTTGGTCTATTTCTAGTACCTTACACTGAGGTATAAAACTAGCTACTATATGTAATGTAAATATATATTTAGAGAAAAGATTGTCTTTCAAAGGTCTCCAAATCCAAGTCTCTTCTGATCTCAGTTCCAGAAAAATGTTCCATGCCTCATAGAAACAACTTTGAAGTATGTTTTTATCTCATAAAGTGGTGAACTTTATAAATGATATCATGCTTTCCACTTTGCTAATTATGTAATAAATTATATTTCTAGATAAGTAGCATCAAATACTTTACCAAATGAGAGTTAGAAGTTATTTTTTAATAAAAAGATAAAATACCTTTCAAAAAGATCTCCATTCAAAACAGGTTTGATACTGGAAATTATATGGCCAAAAATAAGTTAATTATATATGGCCAAAAATTTAATACTATGCATCCATTAAAAGTGGAGATAACTAGGAGTTTATAATAACATGGATAAATACTTATTTATAAATCACATATGTGAAAAAAATAGAATAAAGGAGTTCTGTATAGAGTATGATCTCCACTAGACAGAATATTCTTTCAAAAACAGGGAGAATATATTCATTGAGTTGTGAGATGGTATTTTTCTTCCTTCTTGAAAATAATATTTTAAATCTTATATTATATATTTTAATATAACAAATTATTTTTCATATTGCCTTATTCAAGTAATAATCACATTATTATATAGATTAGATGATAAAAGACCATGGGGGACTCATTAAACCATGAATAAAAATATCAATTAAGATAATGCTTTATCTAAAATCACTTATTGATTTAAGTGTGGTCCTAAACTTCTAACAAAATTCTTCAATTATATACCCTACTCAGTCAATTATTTAGTCTTCCTTCAGATACTTAGGGGATGTAAAAAAAAAATGACAGTTTCTCCAGAAGGTTTATGGTAAATTGCACAAAATTTGGACAATTACCTTAATTGGAGTATACCACTTTGTCTGAGGAGGCTGGTGTACGGGTTTGGGCCTCGGTGGTCTAGGCCTGACAGGGCCCTCTTCTTCTTCAGGAATCGTCACAACAGCATTTTTGGCTTTTTCTAGCCTTGCACCTTCCTCAGTAGATCCTTTATCACCCCAACGAACCTTTAAAATAAAAGGGAAATACTGATGTCAGACATACAGAGTCTTAGAGGAACAAACTCTTGTTTAGCCTATAGTTCCTTGCTCCACTATCACAGAATGAACAGAAATTAACTGGGTATAAAATAAGACAGAAAACAAAACCCAGCTGCCACAGATGTGACTCTGACTCATGGCGACCCCATGTGTTTCAGAGTAGAACTTTGCTCCCTAGGGTTCTCATTGGCTGATTTTTTGAAGAAGATCACCAGGTATTTTCACTGAGGTGCCTCCAGGTGGACTCCAAAAGTCAAACTTCACATGGTAGCCAAGTGCACCACCTATGGACTCTGCACTGGTATACTGATTACAAATGTTCTGATACTTAATACATTTCTTACTACTCCTTACTTATTTAATATTGAGATCTTAGAAAAGAGTCCCTTCATAGATTTCTGGAGCAATTATATCTGACACAACTTTTTTTT